GTGCGCGTGTGCGCGTGTGCGCGTGTGCGCGTGTGCGCGTGTGCGCGTGTGCGCGTGTGCGCGTGTGCGCGTGTGCGCGTGTGGCGTGTGCGCGTGTGCGCGTGTGCGCGTGTGCGCGTGTGCGCGTGTGCGCGTGTGCGCGTGTGCGCGTGTGCGCGTGTGCGCGTGTGCGCGTGTGCGCGTGTGCGCGTGTGCGCGTGTGCGCGTGTGCGCGTGTGCGCGTGTGCGCATGTGCGCGTGTGCGCGTGTGCGCGTGTGCGCCGCGCGCGTGTGCGTGTGCGTGTGCGTGTGCGTGTGCGTGTGCGTGTGCGTGTGCGTGTGCGCGTGCGCGTGCGTGCGCGTGCGCGTGCGCGTGCGCGTGCGCGTGCGCGTGCGCGTGCGCGTGCGTGTGCGCGTGCGTGTGCGTGGTGCGTGGTGCGTGGTGCGTGGTGCGTGGTGCGTGGTGCGGGTGCGTGGTGCGTGGTGCGTGGTGCGTGGTGCGTGGTGCGTGGTGCGTGGTGCGTGGTGCGTGGTGCGTGGTGCGTGGTGCGTGGTGCGTGGTGCGTGGTGCGTGGTGCGTGGTGCGTGGTGCGTGGTGCGTGGTGCGTGGTGCGTGGTGCGTGGTGCGTGGTGCGTGGTGCGTGGTGCGTGGAGCGTGGTGCGTGGTGCGTGGTGCGTGGTGCGTGGTGCGTGGTTGGTGTGTGTTGTGTGTTGTGTGTGTGTTGTGTGTTGTGTGTGTGTGTGTTGTGTGTTGTGTGTTGTGTGTGTTGTGTGTTGTGTGTTTGTGTGTTGTGTGTTTGTGTTGTGTGTGTGTGTGTGTGTTGTGTGTTGTGTGTGTGTGTGTGTTGTGTGTGTGAGTGTGAGTGTGTGTGTGTGTGTGTGGTGTGTGTGTTTTGCGTGTGTGTGTGTGTGTTTTGTGTGTGTGTTTTGTGTGTGTGTGTGTGTGTGTGTGTGTGTGTGTGTGTGTGTGTTTTGTGTGTTTTGTGTGCGTTATGTGTGTTATGTGTGTGTGTGCGTGTGTATTCCCCAGGAAACTGGCACCAGCCCCCCCGCGGCTACTGGCCCCGCCCGCGGCCACCCCACGAGAGCGAGATTGGCAGTCTGTTCTGCCCCGCTCCGCAGGGACCACTCTTCATTCCGCGCGCCCGGCACCCGCGCACAGTTCACGGACACCGCGGTGTTGGTGTCGACGGAGAGCGAGTTCTGGCAGGCTGGTCGCGGGTTATGGGTCGCGGCGGCCTTCGGCAGCTTTCGACAGTCCGGGCACCCAGGTGCCGAGGTAATGATGACGACGATGACGCCGCCGACGACGACGACGCCGCCGCCGCCTCCGACGACGACTTGCTGAGCGGCGACGACTAGTTACGACGACGACCACGTCAGCGAGTGACTGCGTTCCGCGGCGTCTTCCGTAGCGGCTTTTGCCACGGATTTGGAGAGTTCCGTCGCGCGAAAGCACAACCTACGTTTACCACGTTGTGGCATCCACAAGCTTATGTCTGGCCCCGAGGCAATCAGAAAACGGCTTGGATGTCACATGAGAAACATGTTTTCTGGGGACGGGATCGACTGCCACTGCGCGCGCGTGCGCGTGCATATGCCAGGGGCATTATTGTGTCCACGTGGGATCAGTTCGATTGGCAAAGGCGTGGAGCACCGCGTCGGCACGTCTTCTCGTTGGCTCTGCGACCAGTGAGCAGAAACGCTGCGCCACCAGAAGATGTGTGTCCTGACGAGGGACGGGGGCTGATCATGTAGAATAGGTTTGGGAATTCTCCAGAACGCATCAATTTCGTTTGGGCACTGCACCGTCGAACCTAGAAAACTTGCCTCAAAGTTCATGTACTCCAAGTCTCCACTGGGGTGTCACATGACACTGTCAATTGTGTGTGTGTGTGTGTTTGTTTGTGCATGTGTTTGTGTTTGTTATTGTGGTTGCGCTTGTGGTTGCAATTGCGTGCGTGTGTGTGTAGCGTGGTGTCGTGTCGTGTCGTGTCGTGTCGCGTGGTCTGTGTGTGTGTGTTTGTGCCTGTGGGGACGTGCGTGCTTGCGTGTGGTTGTGTGTGAATGTGTGAATATGTGTGGATGTGTGCGACTGCGTGTGTCTGTGCGTCTGTGTGTCAGTCTGTGCGTCTGTGTGTTTGTGTGTCTGTGTGTGTCTGTGTGTGTCTGTGTCTCTGTGTGTCTATGTTGGTGTCTGGGTCTGCCTGGGTGTAGGTGACTCTGTGTCTCTGAGTCTGTGTTTTGTGCCTGCGTGTGAGTGCAATTGCGTGCGTTCGTGTGTGTGCGGATGTGTGAATGTGTGTTAATGTGTGCGTATGTGTCTGTGTGTTTGTCTCTGTGTTTCTCTGTCTCTGTGTCTCTGTGTCTCCGTGTCCCTGTGTCTCTGTGTCCGTGTCTGTGTGTGTGTCTGTTTTTCTGTGTGGTTGTGCGATTGTGTCTCTGTGTGTCTGTGTGTCTGCGTGTCTGTGTGTTTGTGTGCGTGTCTCTGCCGTATTTCTGGCAGTCAGGAATGGCCGCCGAAAGGGGAGAGAGAGAGAGAGGGATATATAGAAAATTACCCGAAACGTAGCCAACTATTGTGTCACGCTGGGCGACTTTTTGTATGAACGGTCCATACAAAGAAAAACATAATGGTAGATATGCAGCACTCGGAAACGATTCGTAGAACATTGTCGGGCCACTCGCGTCGCGCACCTGTGCAAGAGTGGGCCACTGAGGACAAAGCCGTGTGCTACGTGACGTTCCGGCGCGTTGCGCTCTGTGATACAACAGCGTCGCGCGCTTAATGATGCTACGGCGCCACGCGTCATGTGGGCACGCATTCTGTGGGCGCTCTGCATTCCGCCGTGCCTCCCAGAAGCCCACGAAGAGAGCAACGGTTGCGGAGTTCGCAGCCTCCGATTGAGTCGCGAGGTCTCAAATTATCCGCGCTGCCCTCACCGCCGCCGTGCCTCCCAGGAGCCCACGAGAGTGGTGATGCTTGCGCAGCTCGCAAACCCCACTGCAGCCGCGAGGTCTCAAATGATTAGCGCTGCAATCACATCCGCCGTGGCACCCAAAGGCCAAAGGCCCACGAAAGTGGCGACAGTTGCGAAGTTCGCAGCCACCCACGGGGACACGACGTCTCGAAGTGATCTGCGCTGCCGCCCATTCCGCTGGACCCCCCAGTAGCACACGAAAGTGGCGACAGTTATGCACGTCGCAACCACCCACGGAGCCGCGTGGTCTCATCTGGACGCGCGTTGCCCTCGACCCCTCTGGACCTCCCAGGAGCCCGCAAGAGTCGCAGTTGCGCAGGCCCGAAGCCACCGCGTACACCTCCACCACAGTGGACCTCCAAGGAACCCACGAACGTGGCGACCGGTGCGCGGTTCGCAGCCACCCATGGCGCCGCGAAGTTTCGTATGGGTCCGCGTGCAACCCTACGTCCGCCTGGCACCCCACAAGTCCACGAAAGTGGCGGTTAGTGCGCAATTCGCAACCACCCAGAGAGCCGCGAAAACTCGTTTGGATGCGCGCACAACGCAAGGCCGCACGATTTCTTTCCTGTGAGCCCACGAGTGGCAACGATTGCGCAGTCCGAAGCCACACGGGGAGCCTCGTCTGGATGCGCGTACACTTCCATTCCGTTGGACACCCCAGGGGTCCACGAACGTGGCGACACTTGCGCAATTCAAAGACACCGAGGGAACAGCGAATTCCCGTTTGGACGCGCGTGAAATTCCACTCCAATGGACCCCCCACGAGCCCACGAACGCGGCGACCGTTGCGCAGTCCGCAGCCACTTGGGGAGCAGAGAGGTTTCGTTTGGGCCCACCTGGCCCCCGACACCCGTGCCTCTCCCAGGAGCCCGCGAAAGTGGCGACGTTTGCGCAGTTCGCAGCCATCCAGGGAACAGCGACGCAAAGTCTAAAATGATGTGCGTTGCCTTCACTTCCGCCGTGCCTTCCAAAAGCCAGCGAAAGTGGCGACACTTGAGCAGTTCGCAGCCACCCAAGGAACAGCGAGGTTTCGACTGGGCCCGCGTGGCCCCCAACCTCGCTGGAGTCCCCAGGGGCCCACGAAACGAGCGACAACAGCTCGCAGCCACCCAGGGAGCAGCGAGGGTTCGTCTGGATCCGCGTGGCCCCCGACCCCGCTGGACCTCCTAGGAGCCCACGAGAGCGGCGATCGGCGTGCAGATCGCAGCCACAAAAGGAGCAGCGATGTGCCGGCTGGGTCCGCGTTGCCCCCGAGTCCGCTGGACCTCCCAGGACCCCACGGAAATGGCGACACTTGCGCAGTCCGAAGCCACCCAGGGAGCAGCGAAGTCTCATCTGGGTCTGCGTGGCCCGCGCCCCCGAGATTAGCGACAGTTGCGCAGTTCGCAGCCACCCAGGGAGCAGCGCAAGAGGAGGAGGAGGAGGAGGAGGAGGAGGAGGAGTGGGTGCCACAATGCTCGATTCAAAACGAAAACCCAACACAGGAAGGTTGGGAATAACATCCACCCTGAGCAGTCAAACGCAAAAGCCCCGACCACAGGAGACCATCGAGGATTTGTCCTCGGGGCTGCCCGCGGCACCAGGAGCATTTGCACACAAACCTTTATTGCGACTCAGTCGGCTTTGTGAGCTCTGACTCGCCGTCCTGTGGTGTAGTCCATGTTCTCCATGTTCCAATCTAGTACCCCTGCTCACCTACCCCTGGCAAGGCACAAGGTTGTGACCATGAGTTATTCTCATCATGGGTGTCGGCGCGAGAACGCGAGGACGCGAAGCACGAATCACGGAGCCAGGTGAACGACGAATGAAAATTGAATCGATTGCGCCGACAGTCGTGAGGAAGTTTGCTGCGTCGATTCGCGCGTAAGCCTTGGCCTGCGTCAGCCACCGCGCAAGGTCGCTATTCAATCGATATTACGTTCTAATACGTTTTTTCTCCTCCTCTCTCGCTCTCGCTCTCTCTTTTCTCGTCCCCTCCCTCCTTTTCCCTGGCCCGAGTCCGGAGCGATCGTGCTCGTTCGGTGCAATCGGTGTTGCGTCGATTTCACATTGTCGATGTTGCGTCCTTCCGTTCCTCCCTCCCTCCCTTGTCCCCTCCTTATTTTCCATGTCCAATCATGAATGCATCAGCAGCAGAGAGTTGTAATTGTTTCACTCCGCGTCCGGTATCGGACCGGGCTTCGTGCTCGTTTGGGACCTTGACCTTGACCTTGTTTATAAGCGGCTGGAAGCCGTTGCGGTGCGCATGCAGTTTGTGGACTGACTTTATGGCGGAACCGTTGGCCGCAGAGTGGCCGCTTCAGTGACAGGAGCCGGGCACTGCTACGCGAGGGAAAAAAAATCATGCGCAAAACAATTCATTGATCTTTCCTATCGCTCTCTCCGCCCGAATAATGCCGAAGTCGCGAATCTTCCTGAGGGGTTGCTCGGCGACGCAGCGCTTGCGTCGGCCGCGGCCCCTCCCCCGGGTCAGCGCAAAAGGGGGCCCCAGGCCCAAGGAGTGCGCGCTTGGCGTGCCCTCCCCTTCTAGCCGCGGCTCTGCTTCAGGTCTGAGGGGATTCGGCGGCGATCACAGGTAAGGATGTAACTCCTGGGAGGATAATCCGTAAGGGCTTCGCCCCATGCCGCCGGCTCCCTGTCTCGGATAATGGGAGATGCAAAAGCTAAATCATGAGGTCTGGGCGCCTCCGTGAAGCAGTGTAGGGACATGTTTGTTTTTCGACCCTGACCCTACGGATCTGCGTCACGGGTGCCACCGAATTTCAGAAATGTCGCAAATCCCTTGTGTTTTTGAACCCTGCCCTGACCTTACGGATCTGCGTGAGGGGTGCCGCCGAATTTCAGAAATGTGGCAAATCCCATGTGTTTTTGGACCCTGACCTTACGGATCTGCGTGAGGGGTGCCGCCGAATTTCAGAAATGTGGCAAATCCCCTTCGTTTTTGGACCCTGACCCTTCCTATCTGCGTAAGGGATGCCACCGAATTTCAGAAATGTGGCAAATCCCATATGTTTTCGGAGCCTGACCCCGCCGATCTGCGTGAGGGGTGCCGCCGAATTTCAGAAATGTGGCAAATCCCATTCGTTTTTGGACCCTGACCCTTCCTATCTGCGTAAGGGATGCCACCGAATTTCAGAAATGTGGCAAATCCCATATGTTTTCGGAGGCTGACCCCGCCGATCTGCGTGAGGGGTGCCACCGAATTTCAGAAATGTGGCAAATCCCT